CCCCCCCCCGCCCAAATACAACTTAAAGATTTTAAATTCAGCCTCCACTCACGCGTGGTTCTCATGTACGGGCACTTAAATTTTTGGCGGGAAAATCACTCATTGAATAGCTGTACCATTTTCAAACCCAGGCTAGAACGCAGCAGGCGAGCCGATGCGATCATGCGTTTTTGCACCAAGGTTGAAGTGATTAGGTTAACTGCATGAGCGGTTGTTTCTTCACATTTACATTGTGCGCTCAATACCGTAAATCATCAAAAATTTTACATGTAAGGAGATAAACAATTTCCATTTAGCGGTCGTTTTTTGAAAATGATCCAGCTGTTCAGTGATTAATTTTCCTGCCAAAAATTTAAGTGCTCGTACACAAGAACCAAGCGTACATGAAGGTTAAATTTGAAACCTTTAAGATGTATTTGGACGGGGAATATTCCCCTAAAATCTCAGCTTTCCAGCTTTTCTGGTTTCCAAGTTAGCAGTTTCCCCGCCAAAAATTTCACATGGCAGTACATGACCTGGGAGGATGCCCGGGGACTGGGTTTGAAATTTTTAAGTTGTATGTAGCTGGGGACATCCCTTTGGGATTTCAGCTTCTCACTGGTTGCCGAGTTAGTCATTTCCCTACCAAAAAAGTCTCACGGGGCCATGCGTAAGAACCGCGCATGCCTGGGGGCTGAATTTGATAATTTTAAATAGTACATGGGCTGGGAACATCCCCTGAAAACTTCAGCCTCCCAGCTTGGCTAGTTCCTGAGTTAGCCACTTTCCCGCCAGAAAATTTCACGGAGCCGTACTTGAGAACCACGTACGACTGGGGACTGAATTTGATAGGTTTATGTTGTACTTATGCTGGGAACATTCCTAGAAAATTTCAGCCCCCCCCCCCCAGCTTTCGTGGTTCCCAAGCTAACGGTTTTCGCGCTAGGAACCCTTGTGGGCTGTATGCGGGAACCGCGTACACTTGGAGGGCTGAATTTGAAATCTTTGAGTTGTATGTGGACGATTTTAGCTTTCTGTCTTTCCTCGCTCCCGAGTTATAAATTTTCCCGTCAAAACTTTCACCCTTTCATACGCGGGGCCTTGATTTGCGTGAGGGTTGGTACCGGGTTCCTGGGGTGGCACTTCACCGGGGAATCCACCAGCAAATTCTTGGCGCTGAAACTTGCTTGGTTGCTGAGTTGAAATACCCGGACAGACGAATACACAAACAAACAC